CAAACGCGAGGCAGTGAGCAAACAGACCTGAGTGTGCTGTCCAGATGCCCACGAGGAGGCTGAGGCTTGGCACCTTGGGGTGTGCCCTGACCCCCGGTGACCTGCACCCTCCCCCTCTGAGGGTGTGGCATCGCCCAGGACCCTCTGAGGCAGGGACCTGGGAAAGCCAGCCCACCTGGCCGGAGAGCCAGCCTCTGCTCACGGGGGTAGGAACACCCATGGGTATGCACACCTCTCCGACTCTGTAAGCGGAAAAGGTGGTGGGGAAAAGGTATTCTACAAAGTCAGGGCCCCTTTGCTAGCACCAATGGGGATAGCAGTTCACAGTCCCTGGTCATCCTTATTTATACCACAACCCCTTGGGACTCAGAAAGTCCCCCAGTTAAGGTTTCCCTGGCAACACAACCCTGCTCCTCCCAGATTCCTAGGTTGTCACGGAGTGATTATCCATGACCCCAGAGCTGTTTATTTAGGAAGCTCCTAAAGGCGACCCTGAAGACTCCTTTGTCCCCTAAACGAGAGCATGGCTGGGAGACCCAAACAGAAAGTGCCATTCTGCTGCTGGCTTGGCACCTCCGGGAGCTGATCCTGACACTTCTGCTTTTTAAAAGGTCTGGGCTGTGTCAGGACTAGATTCAGCTCTGCTCAGCAGAAGCCCCCGCAGCCCCAGAACATGGCCCAAGAGCCGCGGCCTGCCCTCACTGACCTGTGTCTCTGGCTCCATTCGAGGTCTGATCTAGAAAGGCTCCTTATCTGAAGCCTTGCGGGACAGAGGACTGCCCAAGGAGGTCCCTCGGGCCAGGGCACAGAGGAGGAAGCCGACGACATGAAAAGTGCTTGAGGAGTCGGGTCACATAAGTAGAAGGGAGAGGGTAAGCAAGGGCTGGGGGCGGGGGGGAGCCCCTGCCTTCTGATGGAATCATGACTGAGCAGCTTCTCGGTGCTTCTAGACCTGAAGCTGTCAGACTTTCCCTGCCGAGGGCCAGAGAAACTGCAGGTTTTGCAGGCCATGTGGTCTCCATGCAGTGAGGCTGTCACTGCCATTCCCTCTGCTGCCATCAATACAAAAGAATCAAGTGGGAGCGGTTCTGTGCTGATAAAACTGTGTGCACAGAAGCCTGCAATGGTCTGGATGTGGCCTGCGGGCAGCAGTCTGCTGACCTCTGCTCCAGACCCAAGAATGGGAGCCTTAGAGAGACAAGCCACCAAGCTATCTTAAAACAGATGCCTGCTAACCAAATGCTCCAGGTGATGATCAGACGGTTTTCTTGTCTGGTCACCGTCTGGCCTGTGCAGCCTTAACCTCCCTGTGGGAGAGCAAGGAGTTGAGAGAAACACTCCCACTACAGTGCGTTCAGCTTCACACAGACCTACTAGAAGCGGGTGAAAGCCACAGACCCTCCCCAAGAAAAACGCACCTTCCCTGGGCACACACAGGTGCAATTTGCTTTTGGAGAATTTCAAAGAAATGCCCAGCCTTTCCAAAGCTTATTCATGGACCACATAGGGGCCTAAAAAACTTAGGGTAAGACCACTGTCCACTCAGATAGAGAACTATTTTGTGTGTGTGTATGAAAGAGGGCTTACAAAACACAATTAAAAAAAAAAAAAGGAGAAACAACCCTGTAGAAAAACAGACAAAAGACACAAAGGAGCAATCCCAGAAGAAATACAAGTGATCATCAAAAGGAGGTGGAGAGATGCCCCATCTCACTAATAATTAAAGAAAGAAATTTTAAATAGTAACATATTATTTTTCACCAGATTGGATGGGCTAATGTTTACAAGAATCTGGACAGGGTGTTGGAAGGGGTGTGGAAGAAAACTTCTCAGATATGGTGGAAGGCCAGCATCTGTGTATACCCTTTTGGGAAGACCATTTGACAGTCTACATTAACATTTAAAACATGCTGAACTTGGGGCCTGGAATTTATTTTATCGAAATACATGTACAGAGATGTTCACTTTGGCAGAATCATAAATCAGAAAAATTGGAAACCAACCCAAAAGTCCATTAGCAGGAAACTGGTTAAATAAATCATGGCAGTCTATATTGGAGAATCACATGGCACTGTCTAATTATGAAGCCATCTCTAGAGTTTAAAATAATAAGGTAGATTTCTAAGGACTGGTAGGAAAAGACATAAGAGATACATTGTCAAGTGAAAAAGGCAAGTTGTAACAGTGTTTCTTTTGAAAAGAACTTCAGTATATGTAGATTCCTTTTTTAAAACTAAAGAGTTACATTTTAAACTGATGAAGTTAGGCTTATAGGATTTTACAGTTCACATTGTACATTTTTCAAATAGTTGACTTTTTAAAATCAAACCTTTTTGTTTTATAATCATTAAGAAGAAAAGAAAACAAAAACAATCCTTATGACCCTCCTAGCCACCCCAAAAGGATTTGTGGACCACAACTATGATCTTATTTTGAAGACTTCCCTAAAGGGGATTCATGGTGAGGAGGTTTTTAATCTGTTTTAGGCTTATAACAATAGAGCATCTTTCTGTATTTCAGAGCATATACTCAAGTTCAAGGACCATCTCTTTCTTTTATCCTGAAATTCAGAACTGCCATGACACAGACAGTGTGGCTCAAATAATGGGGGTGATGCCAGATTTTCATTTTTCATTTTGATGAAAGAGTTGGTCATGTTTACGCCATCAAAGAACAAACAGAACTGTGGCTCCTGCTTTGCAGTGGACACAGCTGAACGGAATCAGTGTGTTTGACAGTTCTAACATGCTTTGTACAGCTTCAACATGTGTCTTCCCCCAGGAATTTGAGAGGGTGGGAGATACATCTAATAAAAAAAAAAAAATCTATCTGGTTGGGACTTCCCTAGTGGTCCAAGGACTAAGACTCCTTGCTCCCAAAGCAGGGGGCCTGGGTTTGATTCCTGGTCAGGGAACTACATCCCATATTCTGCAACAAAGACCTGGTGCAGCCAAAGAAATAAATAATCTACCTGATTAAAAAAATAAATAAAAATGCACAAAAGAGTACAAAGTCAATCTTCTTCACACTACCAGGGCAAGGCAACCAGAGACCCTGGATATTTGAGTCCCCCACCCTGGAGCACACCATGTATGCAGTCCTGGGCAGTGCCTCTCTCAACCTAACACAGACTCCACTGACTGCTCCATTTCCACGGACTTAGGCCCTGGTAGTTCACTCTTCCCACCTGGATAAAGTTAATAAATTGAGAAGCACAGGAAGGATGAGAAGAGGAATTGGGCCCAACCGGGCCTCTGGCTCACAGCCTGCAGGCTAGGGGTCACAGGAATGTCAGTACCTCCTCAAGTTCCTTAGAAGAAGGCCAGCAAGGCTCCAGGGCTCCCTCAAAGCTAAACGAGGGCCCTTCAGCAGCCTGATGCCTGACTCATTACTGGAAAGAGAAAGCAGAAGCCAATGCACTGCAAATAAACAGGGCTGGGAGGCACTGTATCATTAAAAACTTTCTCGAGGGGAAACTAAGGCAGGCGAGACTTTCCTGTTGGACAGAGAAATCTTTCGGGAAGCCTCGCATTCTCACTTCTTTCCCAGGGGCAAGCTCTGAAAGGCACACCTGCCTGACCAGGTGAACCTGCAGACAACTCCCTCTTCCTTCTGGGGAAAGAGTCTTTGGACTTTTTTGGACTTTCTTTCAACCTGGATCTTCAGGCAGTCTCATTCACTTCCAAAAGAAGGCCATTCTATGGTGTTCTGGGGCTACCATAAAAGAGTGCTCGGCATCCCAAGAAAGGATCTCCCTCCCTTGGGAGAAGGGCTCCTTGTGCCTTGGCATTTGGGAAACCACGCAGGGCTTTGCTGGTGGCTCAGGAGTAAAGAATCTGCCTGCCAATGCAGGAGACACAGGTTCGATCCCTGATCCGGGAAGATTCCCACATGTGACTGGGCCTGTGTGCCACAACTATTGAGCCTGTGCTTAGAGCCCCGGGGGCCACAACTAGAGGCCACATGCCACAATTACTGAAGCCTCTGCAACCTAGAGCCTGTGCTCTGCAACAAGAGAAACCACTGCAATGAGAAGCCCAAGCACTGCAACTAGAGAGTGGCCCTGGCTCACTGCAACAAGACAAAAGTCTCAGTGGCAATGAAGACCCAGCACAGCCAAAAATAAAATAAATAAATAAAAATTATTTTTAAAAAAAGGAAGAAAGAAACCAAGCAGAGGGGCAGGCTCTGTGATTCCCCAGAGTTTTTCATTCAGTTCTGAACAAAGCAACAGTTAGAGGCAGGGTGATTCCAAGAGAGGTTTGTTTTTAGGTTTCACTGTTAGCCAGAGCTGCCATAGAAAATAAGAGAAAAGAAAGCAGGTGGCAGGTTATTTTTCTCCCACACAGCTACTAAGCTGGTTTCCTCGGCGCCTGAGTCAAGGTGAGGAAGCAGGAGACAGGCTGCTCTGAGGCTGACTCTGCTGCCTTCCAGCCTGCCTGCAGGACTTCCCCAACTTGGGAGCCGGAAATAGGCTTTGCTGCCACAACTTCACCAACAACAACCCTCTACTGCTTGGGATACCCCAGCAGACGCAGGTGAATGGAAGGCAAGCAAATTAAAGTCAATAAAAGCTGCCTCAGATTTGCAAAAAGATGACTGAACTAGAAAGTGAAAGTGTCAGTTGCTCAGTCATGTCCATCTCTTTGTGACCCTGTGGACTGTAGCTCTCCAGGCTCCTCTGTCCTTGGGGATTCTCCAGGCAAGAACACTGGAATGAGTTGCCATGCCCTTCTCCGGGGAATCTTCCCAACCCTGGGACTGAACCCAGGTCTCCTGCAATGCAGGCAGATTCTTTACCATCTGAGCCATAAAGGGATGTCTACAGAGATCTTCTCAAAAAAACTGGTACTGGGCCTTCTCTGATAGTGCAGTGGCTGAGACTGTGCTCCCAGTGCAGGGGGCCTGGGTTCCATCCCTGGTCAGGGAACTAGATCCCACATGCCACAACTAAGACCCAGCAGAGCCAAATAAATATCTTTTTAAAAAATGGTACTTACTGTTAATGAGGTAAAAGTCATGCACATCCCACCAAAGCCATTCAGAGCCAGGGCGATGAAGATGAGCACAGAGAGAGCTGGAAGGAAGCAGAAGGCTGGTAAGAGGGGAACCACGCCTGAGCCTCAGGGAGGCCGGGGCCCGACCCACTGCTGCCGAGGAGCTTGCTCTGAGCAAATGCTGCTAGTGATGACAAGTCATCAGGCATTAGTGCCGGACACCTGGGGAGCTGGCCCAGCCTCGGCCTCATCCTCCTTTAGCCTATTTTATGGAGTTTGGGCTCTTGCAAAAGGTGTATCCCCACCCCCCTTTCTTCACTAACCTTACCCACAAGTGGTGGTGTAGTCGCTAAGTCATGTCTGACTCTTGAAACCCCATGGACTGTAGCCTGCCAGGCTCCTCTGTCCATGGGATTTCCCAGCCAAGAATACTGGAGTGGGTTGCCATTTCCTTCTCCAGGGCATCTTCCCGACCCAGAAATCAAACCCAGGTTTCCTGCATTGCAGGCAGATTCTTTACCAACTGAGCTACGAGGGAAGCCCTTTACCCACAAAGGAGACGTCTAAAAAAGCTGTTCGCTGAAACCAAAAATACAGGTACCTCCAAATCAGGAGAGGAGCCTGGATAAGAGTCTAGTGAAACATGGGACTCCCCCTGTGGTTAAGACTCTGCACTTCCAATGCAGGAGGCGCAAGTTCAATCCCTGGTTGGGGAAATAAGATCCTACATGTTGTGCAGTGCAGCCAAAAAACCCTCAAGATTTTGGTGAAAGTCAAGCCCTATTTTGGTGTTGGTTCCAAAAGTCCTTGCAGCATCAGCTCCTCCTGAGCAGAGTTAGGGACAAGGTGGTTTCTGAGCCATCTTAAAGTGCAAGCCTGGGCTGCTCTGAGCGGTTCAGCTTAGGACCTCTGCACACACTCCTGCAGCTGGCCTGGTTCTCAAGTTGGCATCAGTGAGTCTGTCAGGGACTGGCCTGGCTCAGCAAGGAGATGGGTGTTCCTCATCCTCTGGGAGCTTCTCTCAGACATTTGTCTGGGGCCATTTGCTTGTCCAGCCACCATCTGAATTAAGTCACTGGGTAAAGGTCTCACAAGTGTCCCTCTAACTCGAGCAGTGAGCGCAGGCCTGGCCCAGCTTCCTAGAGCAGGTGGGCCTGTGAGTATGTCTGGGTGCTGTCTCCCCAGTCCCTGAAAAAAGGGCAGAAGAAAAGCATACTCACAGTTTGGGTTACTTGCTCCATATGCAATCAGCAAGCAGGAGACAGCAAAGCAGGCACTACAAAGAAAGAGAAATAGTACATTATTGGTTATTATCATTATTGTTAATACTGTTTATATGGAGGTATTTGCTACATGTCAAGATGCTTTCAGAAAATTTACACACATTCTTTTGCTCAACAGTTCTAAGGAGCGTAATTGGCTCTATTTTACTGATGAGAAAAATAAAATAACAAAAATAAAACAACAAGGTCCCACTGTCTAGCACAAGGCACTATATTCAATATACCAGGACAAACCATAATGGAAAACAATACAAAAAAGAATGCACACATACAAATGTGTAACTGAATCACTTTGCTGTATAGTAGAAATTAGTAAACATTGTAAATCAACTACATTTCAATAAGTTTAAAAAAAACAACACACAAACACAGATATTCAAATACCTAAAAATAAATAAAATTTAAAAAACCCAACATAGAAACAAAAATGAAATTCTCCAAGGTGTCCTAGCTAGTAGGTGGCTAAGCTGGAATTCAAGCCCCAAAGCCAGACCTGGTAAACACCCCACTGCACTGCCCGTTCCATTCCCCAGACTGGACAGAGCCAAGTCTGTGAAGCGAGAAAGGACACAACCCATCCCCAGGCTCCTGTGTCCGCTCAGTCAGGGGACAGAAAGAACCCCACGGGGCAAGGGGTGATGACTAGAAGCTTTCAAACCCCCTCTACGTGGCTCTGAGCTGGGGACCAAGCCTTTGTAAGCTCCAAAGAATGAATGACACTGATCCCCCACCGATTCCCTTCAGGGCCATGGGCCTTGCTCATGGCCAGCCACTGCCCTGCACAATGCTCATTCCCATTGGGACTGGCTTGGAGAGGACCCTGGCCAGACAGGGCCAGCTGCTTGGCAGACTGACCCTGAGACTGGCAGACTGGAGTTTTATAGCCTAGGAACACATCCTAGGAGGTGCATTAGATGACCCACTAAGGTGCCTGGGGTAGGGAAATACTACTTTACAATTTTAGAAATTTTATAATTTTCCATTTTGTAATTTAAAATCTCAGCCATTTTATCTCTTTTGTATATGTATCACAAGGCAGAAAAAACACTATATGAGATGGTAGATGTTCCCTAAGCTCCCTGTGGGATTCATTTCATGATGTATGTAAATATGATCATTATGCTGTACCTCAGTCTTATACAGGGCTGTACATCAATTAATATTTCAATAAAACTGGAAGAAAAAAATTAAGCACATTAAACAGTAAGAATGACATACGTATATGCCTGTGGGCTTAGTTGCTCAGTTATGTCCAACTCTTTGCGACCCCAGGGACTGTAGCCCGCCAGGCTCCTCCGCCCATGGGATTCTCCAGGCAAGAAAACTGGAGTGGGGTGCATTCCCTTCTCCAAGGGATCTTCTTGACCCCTGGATCAAAGCCTGGTCTCTCATACTGCAGGTGGATTCTTTACCATCTAAGCCACCAGGGAAGCCCAACAGATGTGTATATGATTGATGATTCCATGTGTTTATATTAGAGGTATTTGTTCACAATCTTTTTATCTCACAGAGGTGGAAGATGAAAAAGACCAGAAATCATAATGACAAGCAGGTCCTCCCAGGCAGGCCTGAGTCCTGTGACTTGTCTATGCAGATCGGAATAACATAAGGATCACAGCAGCTACTGATGGGGCAGGAGCCCCATCCTAGGTGGGCATTCAGGGGGCACCACAGTACACCCCACCGCAGGATACCAGGATCCCCTACAGTGGGGAATCTTGGCCCAGGGGCCCCCTGCCCACTCCGCCCACCTGCCTCCCCCCCAGAACTGACCTGCCCAGCAGCCTGAGCTTCCTTGGACCGTACTTGTCCATGACGATGCCCAGGGGCAGAGTGATGGCACTGAGCAGGAAGGAGCCCACGGTGAAGGCCAAGTTTAGCATCTCATCCTGGGCCTTGCAGCTGAGCCAGCCATTCATCCGGCTCACCTCCTCAGGCTCCGGTTCTGCCGTGGCCCCCATTGTGACGTTGGTGACATTCTCTGTGTGTAGAGGGAGGGGAACTTGATCACAGGGTCATGGCAGGGAACTCCAAAGACCAGAGGGGCAGGTGCCCACCCAGAGTCAGCCCACTGAGGCAGCCAGGGCTAGCTCTGGGCCCCTTCAGAGCTCTGAATACCCCCAGCAGGCTGGGATGTCCACGTGGCCAAAACTCCCTGGAGTGATAATACAGAGATTCTTAACTTTTTTGGGGGGGGAGGGGGGAGTCACCTTCCCTTTGAAGAATCCAATAGAGAAAGTGCCTCTATTGCTCCTTAGAAAAGTCTTGCCCACAGTCTCAGGGCCTTCTTGTGTCCTTTGCAGCACCCACAAGCCCCAGGTTGGGATTCCCATTTATTTATTTGGCTGCACCAGGTCTTAGTTGCGGCATGTGGGATCTATTTCCCTGATCAAGGATCAAACCTGGGCCCCCTGCATTGAGAGCTCAGACTCTTAGCCGCTGGACCACCAGGGAAGTCCCAGGATTCCAACTCTAGAGTAAGCGACACCTAGAATAGCTCGCTTTGGGACCCAGCCTGGACCGTGTGTTCCCCAAGCTGGCTAGAACTTCTCGGCAGCTCTGTCCATGGAAGCAGTCTGTGGCCAGCATACAGGAGGGCGACCCTAGACCACTTGGGAAGGACAAGCTGCTGGTCTCAGCTGCTGTGAGTCAATCGAGGAGAAGGCTTCCTTTAATGCCTAATACATCAGATTTCTCAAAGACACATCCCCTGTGCTAAATTCTCTCTCATGTTCTCACAGCATCAACTGCTACATATCCTGAGTCACGGAACACCCTTGGGAAAGGTTTTTTGTTTAATAAAAGAGTGCCAAATAACTTGCTTTCACTTGTCGAAGGGCACCTATCTTCTTTTTCTCACTGGGGTCACGATGTCACTGTCTCCGGCGGCCACACCTATGCCATAATCCTAGTCCTTAATGATCCTCTCCAAAGTCCACCCAGCCCCAAGACAGCAAAAAAGAGGGAAGGAAAAAGTGCTGTGGCAGCGAGGGGCGGGAGGGTGGAGCACGGGCTGGCACACAGCGGGGGATGTGCTCCGTTCCTCCTCTCGGGACTGCTAGTTAAGAGATGCTGACTAATCCTGCAGCGAGAGGAGCAGCCTCTGATTAGACGCGAGGAGGTCACGCTGGGAGACTCAAGGAAATACCTCTCAGCAGATAAGTGCCGTCTCCTACATGCGGCCCTCTGGCGCCAGGGCCGTAAAGCTGAGGTAGGCAAGGCCTGCCTGGGCCTCTCTTGGGGGGGGTGGGGGGCGGTGAGCCAAGGTCACGGAAGAAGATGCATGTTGGGTGAATCATGTTCTGTGCCAACCTCTGACCAACAGGTCCTGGTGGGGGACACACTGAGGGTGGGGGTGCTGGGATCTGGGCTCTAGGTTCCAATTCTTGTTTCTCTACTTGCTATTTTATCACCCTGGAGAAGTGACTTCATCTCTCTCTATCTCAGTTTCTTTATCTGTAAAATGGGCATAAGGTTATAAAAATATCTACGTCTCTAGAATTTGGGGTAACATAAAAGAGAAAACCCAGATAATATTTTTGCACTCACAAAAGCATAGGAAGTGTTCATAACCAATAGCTAAAAGTTATTATTATTATTAGGAGCTTACTACGTGGTGCCAGTGGTAAAGAACCCACCTGCCAATGCAGGAGGCATAAAAGACACGGGTTCAATCCCTGGATTGGGAAGATACCCTGGAGGAGGGCATGGTAACCCGCTCCAGTGTTCTTGCCTGGAGAATTCCATGGACAGAGGAGCCTGGCAGGCTACAGTCCATGGGGTCGCAGAGTCAGACACGACTGAAGCGACTTAGTATGCACGCGTTATTATTATTGTTACTACTACTATTCTGATGGGAGACTTGGAACGGGGATAATAATGCAACTGGTGGGGAGCAGAGCCGGATGCTGTAACTGGAAGCAGAATTCTGTAACTGATCATTCATCCATAGCATGGATTCATGTCTGGCCTCCCACTGGGCTAGGACAGGGACTGTGTTCCAGTCACCGACATCCCCAGCACCTCCCCTTGGTCCTGGCGCACCGTTGCTGTTTACTGAATGAATGAAAACAGTGGCGTCAGATCACCTTGACCAAAAGGATCCAGAAAGAAGAAATGAAACAGGATGCATGGCACCAACTTGAAGCCAGAGGGCACTGAAGGAGATCACAGCCACAGTGTCACCCCATGAAGCCACAGAGACAAAACCTAACAAGTCAGATTTCCATCCCCTCATCCCCGCCACCTTCTCTCAGCTTCCCAGAAGATGTCTGCACCACACTGGCAGCCAAAACACATGACAAACAGGGACATCTGAGCCCCGGAGGTTCCAGCTCAGAACTGTCACACACACTGCCTTGGCCAGCAGGCCGGAGCTGCTTGTCCACGGTGGGGCCCACTTCTGGAAGACCAGAGCTGCTTCACAGGTCGTCACTGGTTTCGGGTGTCAGCTTCGCTAGCAGCAACAGGGGCTGAATGTGAAGTGGGAGGGACCAGGTAAAGCAACGGTCACCTCCGGACTGGTGTGCAGGTGTGCGCAAACCAGTACAGGCGCAACAGAGTGGGTGGAGATGGGAGGGGACAGCTGCGGGTCCCGGATCGCTGGCTTGGGAGACCTAACCGTGGCCATGTAGGGCCTGGAGCCCATCAGAGAACACAAAATCACTTAGGGCTGGCAGTGCCGTGCGCTCGGCTGTTCCAAGCAGGGAGCTGTGACCGAATGGGGAGGCACTGTCTCTGATCAGAGGCACCAGGGCACCCTGCTCCTGTCTTCCCCAGAGCTGGACCTAAAAGCACGGCTATACTTCCCAAGAGAGGGAAGACAAAATCCCAAGGCAACATGTATACTCAAGGCAGACACCCTGGTTCGCTCTTAGTTGAAGATGGGGACAAAAAAACCATCTTGAATTGTTTAGATATCTGGTCACCTTGTAACTAGACAGGAGGGGCTCCAGGAGAGAGAAGTCAGAGTGGACAGAAGAGAATCTTCCCTCCCATCTTTCATCCTAGGGCCGCTGCAACAGAGCAGGACCCTTACACGTTGGGCCACCAGCCTTCTCTTAAATCCCTGCCAATGGGGCCACCTGGCCGTCTGCCCTCTGAGCTCCGGGCAGTGATGTCCGGAGACAGATGAGCCGGGGGGTGGGGAGGCCTGAGCGGCCTCTCAGCGGCCCAGGGAGCAACGTGAGAGTGCCCCATGCCCCAGACGGAACGAAACCTTCTATGAGCCCGAAGCTTTGTTGGCAGTAAACAGCCCACACGCATAATCACAGATCCAGCAGATGCCCAAACACAGTCACACCCAGGCTGCTCCTCTCGTTCTGCTCCCACCTGGGCCACTGTGGGCCAGAGAGACACAAAACAGATAAGCACCCAGGAAGTGCCGAGCCCCTGGGGTGCCCCTCTGCTCCCAGCCTAGAGCTCAGCCCTCCCCCAGCCCAGCCTGCTCTGGGCCTCACCTGCACCTGTTTATCACAGATGCAGCCAGAGCAGCCCAGCCCAACGCGGGAAGGTGAACCAAGAACAAACAGGCAAGGAACTGGTGTGTCCGGAGTGTGCAGGGAACGGGCGTGAGGCTGCTTAGGAGGAGACCCAGGGCAGGGAGCAGAGAACAATGCCTGCTCTGTTTGGCCCCACTCACAGAACCCGGCACTCAAAACCCTTAGCAAGAGAGCAGGGGAGAAAAGAAGGTGCTGTGACCCCACTCAGGCGCCCCTAACTGCCCTGGATCAAGGAGGGGGCCCCCCCTACCCTAGGGCAACAAACCAGAACAGCTGACCAGACGAGGCTTCTTGAGGAGCAAGGGGCTTCAGGCTGGAGGCCCCCCTAAACTTGAGCAGCCCCCTGCCCCACCTGCCCAATACTGGCCCCTGGACTTCCCTGCTGATGATCACTGCCCCAGGATCTCCTGTCTCTCTCAAATCCTTAGTCTATCCGGCAACAGGAAGCAGCATCTCTGTCTGGCAGGGGGTATGTAGGCGAGAGGTCAGCCTCACACACAGTCAGCCCGAGGCAGGACACAGACAATCAGAGGACCCCGCACTGGCCAGGCCAGGGCCTGGCCCCCTAGTTGCGGTCACAGAGGGCTGGTGTGCGCTGGCCACTGTGTTCCACGCTAGTGGTTCCTGTGTCACTGAGCACCTCCCCCTTAACTCACTAGTTCACATCTGGATATCTGGAGTATCCAAACAGGTAAGTCACTTCCCCGAGGTCTCACAGGCAGTACATGGGGGAGCCGGACTTGAATCCAGACAGCTGGACCTCAAGGCTCCTCCTGACCTTCAAGCTGTACTGATGCTGTACCACCTGGGTCAGAGGCAGTTGAGAGAGAAAATGCTTACAGAATAAAAGGCTGGCAGTGTCAGGGACCACGCCAGGTGGCCCTTCATGTCACCTAGAGAGAACGGGAACTGCCCACGAGATGCTTCCACAAAGTCCCCGAAAGCCAACCAAGCTGGACAGAACCTTCATGGGACGCCAAGAAGGCAGGTGGGGCAGGTGGCTGTGGAGGAGAATTAGGTCACGGGAAGGAGGAAGGCGGTTGGTGCGGAGGGCCAAGGGCATCGGCTCCTCTGTGACACATCCTAAAGCTGGAGGCCCCTGCCTGCAGGCCTCCCGCCCCAAGTATAGAATTAAAAAAAAAAAAATCCAAAATAAATTGGGGTTACAGGGAGGGGGTAGTGAAAACAGGCCTATTCACAGCAATACAAGTGAAAGGAAGGGTTTGCAAAAGCTACCACCAGTGACATCTGAGACATACCGCCAGTGGGAAAGACAGAAAAAGGGAGGGCCGTGAAGTGGCAGGGACCGTCTCAAGTCCACTTCTTCAGCCTCAGCCCAGTCTGGTGGGGACCAGGTCTGGCCCTGCCCTCTCACCATCCCGGGGGCCAGCTTCCTGCTTTGTTTCAGTGAGGGGTACAGCCCCTGGTCACCGAAACAGAGTCACTGAGGAGGTCAAGAGCACAGAGCTGGGGGCTGCCTTGGGACCCATGGCCGGGCTGGACCAGAAACCACGACTCCCATCTCCAGAGCCACCCCCCGCCTCCCCATGATCCCACCAAGCGCCTGGCATGTGGCAAACCCTCAATAATTCCTAAGAAGCTAATAGGTGAATCTGACCGTCTCTTCTGCCTCGGGAGCTTATTCCTGCCTTGAAAAGGAGATCTAATCTCCCCAAGGCCCTGCAGGCTCCTTCCCATCTCTCCAGTCATCATCTGCCCTTCTGTCCTTTCCCTCCTCTCTTTCAGCACACAGCCTGCTCCAGGGGCTCACTGCCTCTGTCCTCTCCTGACTCACCCCTTCTGGCCCTCCACGCTTCTGCCTAAGCATCAGAGAGCCCCCCACCCAAGCTGAACCAGATCCCCACGGCTGCTCTCCGCCCCCCGGCACCCTGCTCTCTGTTGGGGTCTGACCACCACATGGGATCGCCTAGGTCTGTGTGTGGTGACTCTTTGATGCTGGCTGACTGCAAACCCCCTGAGGGCCTGGATTACTCTGCACCCAGCACAGCATCTCAGAAAATGTTTCCTGAGGGTGTGGGTCAGATGAAAGAGATTAAACATCCACAGGGAGCACCAGCCCCCTAAGCTGAGAGAAAAATGAAGAAACAGGTTGGGTGAGGGGTGGGGCTGGTGACAGCGGCCATCCAGAGGCCAAAAGGACGCAGGTCTGGGAAAGCTGGGGCTGGGAACCCAGCTGGTCTCCTGCCCACACCAGGGGGACTGGGGAGGCAAAGCCAAGTGCCAGCCCAGGTCCCCAGCCCCTGTCATCCACCCTGACCGTCGGGTGGACAGGGATTAAAGAGCTGAGGGGAAACGGAAAACCCAGCTCTTTGTTTCTTTGTCCCACCTCGCCACGCTGGAACCCGACACTGTGTCTGTGACCGGATCCTGGCTGGAGTCCCGAGCAAGAGTTCTGAGGACCTTTCAACAGGTTCAGGCAAATTTTCTTTCAGGAACAAACCAAAGCATCGGTCCTAAAAGCCACAAAACGCTGACAAATTTGCATCTCAATCAGCTGTAGACTGGTCAGCTTTTCACAAGCCTCATTCAATAAATGTAATAAACGGCCAAACTACTTCTCTGCAATTCACTGTCCCCCAAGTTTGACAATATTAGGCCTAAGCGGAAATCTTGACCCTCAAATCCTCCAGGTACTCCCAGCCAGGCAAGACACGGGGATGCCAGGCCCCGCAAGGCAACAGGCTGCTCAGACTTCCAAGAAACAAGGAGGCCAGAAGAGATAAGCCCTGTGGGATCAGCAGGCCTGCCTGCCATGGATGCTGGGTCAGCGGGTTTGCCAGATAGTCAGAAAAACCAAAATCAGAGGCAGGAACAAAAGGCACAGGATAAGAAGTTGATGTTCAACCCATAATCCTGACCCTTCACCTTCACTTTGGTTTGCAGGAGAAACCAGGCAAGCCTCGAAAGGGCTTAAACACCAACTCAGCACTGTTGTGGGCACAACTGCTGGGACTCCTCCCACTTCAATGAAGGAGGCAGCCAAGGCTGGGGCAGGAATGAAGTGACCAGCCCCGGCGCTGCCAAGACCATAAAATAAATTAAATCAGTGGACAACGTTGGGGGGGGGAACACCCTAGAATCTGACCTTCTGACACCACAGTAGGACAAAAAAAAATGACCACCACAGTCCTTCAGTCTGGATGAGATGCTAAAAGCTTCATCTGGAGATGATGGTTTTTTTCTGTTCTTTAACCCCTCTATGCAGCCAGAAGGAAGCCGTCAGAGGCAAGTAAGAAGGGTCATGATCCACAAGAGAAGAGAGGAGGTGCCAAATGCTCCAACCTGTTCCCTTCCTGTCATTAATCTCCTAACATCTCTCGGGCAAAGCAGAAAGCTTGTTCAAGGAACAAGGTCTGAGTGACTCTCCCATCACCCAAGGTTTCTTGCTGATGTGGGGAAAGGTCTGCCAAGAACCCTTAGGCTATTAGGAAATATTTCTGAGTGGCTGAATGCTAAAGGTCATACATAATATACTCTCTGCCCTCTCTCAGGCAGTCTCAGCATCTCCTCCCTTTCTCCTGTCCTTAACCTCTTTCAACTGAAGCTTCCCTAGTAACTGGAATGCTCAGCAACCTCCTGGGAAGATCAGAGTAGGAAAACAAGGATTCTACACCAGCTTACACGCAGCATGAACCGGTCCAAAGCTTTCTCTTCCCTCAAAGTTAGCAGTCTTGGGAGGAAATAAATGGCAAGCTGGTGGTGTGATGCAGGAGGTCAGACTTGGGTTATCTCCATCCAAGGGAACTGGGGCAGGGGCTGGCTGTCAAAGGTCCCGGGGAGAGACTCTACTCACTTCAACCATTAGGAAGTGACAGAGGGCAGAACAAAACATTTATTATCAAGGTTGTTGAGGAAGGGGGATAGAAGGGGAGAGAGTGAGAGCCACTTGGGCCCACGCTTAGGCTGAGTTCCACTGACCTTCAGCAATCAGAATCCTCAAGCAAGGTCACCGGGTGTGACCACAGAGGTGGGGGTGAGATTTCTTGTAGACAGGCATCCTCAGCTTTAATTCAGTTACACCAACATGTGGCAAAGGGAGAGGACAGCCCTAGTGCCATTTCCAGAAATACCCCTTCCCCTCCCCCTCACAGGGGAAGAAGGCCACTGAGATGTTCTCACAGCTTGTGGGAGGAAATGTCCTTTGGAAAATTAGAAAGCAGCAAAAATAGACAAGAAATTGTATCCGACAAGCCCTTTAGAGACTCAAGGCCTGACTGAAAAACATCTAGATTCTAGATGAACCTTCTACGGGGTGGAGGCCAAGCCACTTCCTCTCTCTTGCTGCACCCCAGCCACTGAGTCAGGAGTTCCTCTTTCTTACGGTCACAGAGCAGCATGTTTACTGCAAGGCAAGTGATGTGCCAGGCACTGGGAGGAGAGGAGTCCAGTCATCTTCCCGGGTGGTGGAAAGAACACCCTGGACTTGGGGGTTCTGGATCTATGACAGTCTCCAGCTGTGAGGCCTCATGCAAGTCAGGAGATCTGTCTCAGCCTCAGTGTCTTCAGCCAAAAAACAGGGACGATGATCTGTACCCAGCGAAGCTGGAGCGGGGAGGAGGTTTAAACGGGCCTTCTGCTAACTAGGAGGAGCTGCGCAGTGAGGTGGTCTTGCTGGTTGAGTATGCACCGCCCTCCGTCCCCTCCCAAAGCCCCCATCCCAGGAACGACCCCCAGCCCGGGTGTCCGCCTCACCTGGCTCAGTACACAGGTAGGAGTAAAAGCCTTCCGACTTGAGCATGATGAGCAGCGAGCCCCAGCCCAGGAGGACTGCCGAGAAGAGGAGGTTTTCCACCACGGCCGTGCAGGCCATCCACCAGCGGCGCCGATGGGCAGTGGCCAGGGTGGGCGCCATGGCGAGGCGAGACGCGGCGACCCGGCTCCGGCTCGGGCTCCTCTCTGCAGCCACCTGCGCGCAGACCTCGGCGTCAGTGCCCGGCCCTACCCAGCCGGGGCGGCCAACCCGGGCCGCTGCCGCAGCGCGCGCAGCTTGTCACCCCCTCCGCAGCGCGGGAGGCAAGTGCGCGCAGCAAGGAAGCCCCAGCCCTGCCTCGGCCCTGGGTCACCCTCTCGGCCGCTGGCTCATCCGCCAGCCCGCAGCTCAGGGAGAAGCCGCCGCGGCCGGGCAGGGAGACTTCTCTCTCTCGGCTCACTCGGAGGGAAACTGAGGCACAGAAGCACGAAGGGACAAACGCGTGCTCAGGGACGTGGAACTAATGCAGGCTCCCAGCAGGACTGACGCAGCTTGGGAGCTGTCAGGAGAGGTAGCCGGAGGTTCAGATACCTGGGCAGGGGCATACCTTACGGCTGCCACTCCCCGGGACCCTCACCGGAGCCCGCCCGCCCGCGCTCACTGGAGACCCTTCCCCAGATCGGGCTCCCTTAACCACAAGATCAGCGCACGGAGCTCCGGAACGGCCCGCCCGCGGCCCGTTCATTGGCCTGACGGCACAGGAACTGCCACTCCATTGGCCGCTGTCTAGGTCGCTAGGCGCTGCGGCCACGCGAGCCCCACACGGGAGAGGCGAAGCCGGTTCAAACCGGCGGCGCGAGCCTCCCGCGCGACCCCCGTCTGGGGCCGTTTCCTCGGCAATTAGCTCGTTTCTATGGAAGCGAACCCTGCTCCTCCATCCCCTAGCTTGTTCCTGGACCTCTCCCCCGGCGGCTCCTCATCCATTCAGTCTCTCCTCCCTTACGCACACATCTTCTCCCTATGCCCTTACTCCTGCGCCTTCCTCGCCCCAGCACTCAAGCTCGGGACCCGGGTCCCCAGGATCCTTCTCACCCGGCTCCTACTGGTGTGTATCGGGCCCGGCCGGCGCCTTTTCTGCTCCCCCTTTTATTCCAGCCCTTTTATTCCGACCCCTAGAAGAAAACACTGCCGCACGCTGATTGGCTGAGTCGGGGCTGGAAACAGGCGTTAACCAATCGGCAGCCACCCGCCCTCCCCGCGGCAAGCAGAAGCCGGTTCCGGCCGGACTGGGAGACAAACAAGAGAGCTGGGGGGGCCAGGGGCTGCGTGCGGCTGTGCGGTAGGTCTGCGCCTAAAACTGGAGTCACACTCAGAGCTCTGGGGAGCTCCAGGGGCATTCCCCCATCGCCTCTTACCCGGAAACCCTGTCCCTGAATTGAGCTCTCTGCTCGCTTTTCCGGAGCTCTCGGACTTCCCCTAGCTGCACGCGGGTCTCCCTCCCGAAGCCCGCTTCGTAGCCCCCAACTCTCACTGTGTGCTGAGCACCACGCCCGATGCTCTGGCTCCGCGTGGGTCGTTCTGCCTCCCGCCACCTCCCCACGCGATGCTGCCATCCTGTCTTCCCTGGGCTTTGTGTCCTGAATCCTCGCTCTCCTGCCTCCAGTACCCCGTCCAAGCGCTGTCTGCTCATTCCGGATCCCCGGAGCTCTGTCCAGGCGCGGTGTGCTTCTTCCCTTCTTTCCTGATTCACGGCCCTCACTTCTGGGTGTCATCTGTCCGGTCCCTGGAAGTTTTCCCTCGGGGATCTCCACGTGGGAGTCTGGGGCTTGTCTGTCTCCTAGGGTGTCAGGTACCTCCTCCAGACTCTGACCCCCCAACCCATTCCCACTGCTGGCTGCCACCTCTACTCCCTTACGCCCTGTTCTCCTTCAGGTTAGGAGCCTCTCTGCAAGGTAACGAGGTGGGCAGAGCAAAACTACTAGCAGAGGTCAGGCCTCCGGGAAGACGCGTGGGATCGGGAGAGCTCTAGGCTCCTGGTCTGATGAGCGACCTGGACAAGCCCCCGAGGAATTGCCAGGGCAGGGGGATGGAGCCTGGGCTCAGGAGTTTTAGCTCCAGTTGGAGGTTCTCCCCCATCGAAGGCACCACCCGGCGGAGGGCCCTCTGTCTCCCGGCGATTCAGCTTGGTCTCTGACACACTGTGGGAGCTGGTTTGTCACCCCAGGGCTGTGAGAACCCCAGCAGCCTAGTGCCCCTAGACCCCGAGTCCAAGTGCGCCCCCTGCCGCCATCAACCCGCCGCTGGCAACCTTGCTCAGACCACGCCTGACACTGTGTGGTCTTAGAGGATCCTGACTGGTTGCCTATCTGGTTGCCCCACCCTGAGAATCTCACCCACTCACTTGACAAACTTCAATCTTTCCCTCCCTCCCTCGCTCCCTCCCTCCTAGAGCCACCTGCTTGAGGGCTGTTTCAGGCAGTTGTTCCATACACATTTCTAAACTGTTTCAAACACACCTGTAAAGTAATTCACTTTCTCCCCCAACAAAAAACTGTACCTCCCAGATCATAGCATCACTGCCTACTGAAGTTAGATACCGTGAAACATCCTTTCAGTATTTGTTGGTCACCAGCTGTTATTGTCCCTCTCCATCCCACCCCGAGCCCATCCATGGAATCTGTATCTCCTAAGTGTTTATCTAATTTGCCCATGTGTGTCCATAGGACTGCAGCTGCTGTTCATCGAGGTTCTAATCTCAGCCACTCAAATCCATCTCTCCACCCCCATTCCATCCCAGTGAGCTTTGAGAAATGAAAATCTAACCTTGGTAAATCTGACCTCTGCTAAAACAAACTCTTTACCACTGGCACTGCAGGATAAAGTTCAAATTCTCCAAGCTGACCCACACAGGCTCCTTCCCCCACGGTGGTTGACCTGCCTGCTCTTAGTTGCTCCAATCACATGGAATTGCCTATAGTTCCTGCAGGTGCTGTTCTCTCACCTGTGACCCTCAAACATAGTCCCTCCTGGAACATCATGTCCTCCAGGAAGTCTTCCTTAACTACTCCCGGTGATTGTCTCCATTATCTTTCTGTTTTGTAATTATCTATTCATCTGTTTGACTTCCGTTTTTTCCATTGACTATTTGGGGGCGTAAGCCATGCCTTATTCAGCTTGCTATAACCAGCTCTTGATACAGAAGTAAGTACAAAGTAGATGCACAATATGAGTTTGTTGAATGAAAACATAAATAAATGAAGAGGTGAAAGTTGTCAGCTTCTAGGAGTAAAGGACTCAAAGCTGGGGGAATGATGTAATGCCGATAATAATGACCCTTTTTTTTTTTAAATTAGTTGGAGGCTAACCACTTCACAACATTGCAGTAGTCTCTGTCATACATTGACATGAATCAGCCATGGATATACCTGTATTCCCCATCCCGATCCCCCCTCCCACCTCCCTCTCTACCCGATCCCTCTGGGTCTTCCCAATGCACCAGGTCTGAGCACTTGTCTCATATCCAACCTGGGCTGGTGATCTGTTTCACCCTAGATAATATACATGTTTTGATGCTGAATAATGACCCTTTATTGAGGGTCAAAAATTTACTAGGTGCTTTATATACTGTGTCATTTAATCCCTACAATAACCCTGGAAGATAGCCACATGCCCATTTTCCAGATGAAAAAACAAGCTTTAAGTAACATTTGCAAACAAGTATGTCAGAACTGAGATTTGAATCCAGGTCTAATTTGAATGAAATTCTGGGTTTTTTCTGTTTGTTTGTTTTCTGTGTTTTTTGTTTTGTTTTGTTTTGGCTGTGCCTTGTGGCTTTAAAGATTTTAGTCCCCCTGTCAGGGACTGAACCTGGGCCAGGGCAATTGTAAGCACCAAGTCCCATCCACTGGACCACCAGGGAATTTCCTGGGTTTGGGGTTTTTTTTTTTTCCAGTCTTTTTGTCAGGAGTGTTAAAGACCCCACATCAACACTGCTGGCAAATCGTAAACAAATTATTATACCTAAAATAAGTTACAAGGATATGTTACTCAACACCAGGAATATAGCCAATATTTTATAATTATAATTTAAAAATTGTGAGTCACTATAGTGTACACGTGTAACATAAAACATTGTACATCAACCATACTTCAATTAAAAAATCATAAATAAAATCACTGGAAAAAAAAACCACTGAAGTACTAAAAAAAAAATGTAAAAGATTATTTTACTGATTTTAAGGTAAAAAAGGCTTTTCCATCTTTCCATTACACATGACATTAAACCCAGAAGTGAAAAAGAAAAAGACTTGTCTAAATTTAAATTTTTAATTTCTGTAGGGAAAAGGAGAAAGAAACTATAAACAGCATTAAAAGACCAACCACAAACTGGGCAAAGAATTAATATCATTGATATAAAGTCACTTATAAATCAATGAGAAAAAGATGAACATCTCAACTGAAAATTGGGGAAAGAATATAACCAAATCATCTATAGGAAAAAATACTAATAACTGATAGAGATATGAAAAGAAGTTTGGTCTTAGAATAATCATAGAGATTTACTCTAAAAAAGTTTTTCTAATGTGGGACATTTTTTAAATCTTTATTGGAGAAGGAAATGGCAACTGACTCCAGTATCCTTGCCTAGAGAATCCCATGGACAGAGGAACCTGGTGGGCTACAGTCCACAGGGTTGCAAAGAGTCAGGCATGACTTAGTGATTAAACAACAATTGAATCTGTTACAGTATTGCTTCTGTTTTGTGTTTTGGCCCCAAAGCATGTGGGTTCTTAGCTCCCTGAGCAAGGATCAGACCCACACGCCCTGCCTTGGAAGGTGAAGTCTCAACCACTGGACCACCAGTCAAGTCCCAGAAATTCACATTTTAATGATACTATTTTTTTCATTTTTTTAGTGATTCCATTATATATATGTTTTTGTTTTGGGTTTTTTTGGGGGTTTTTTTTGAGTCACGGAGCAAAGCATGTGGGATCTTAGTTCCTTAACCAAGGATCAAACCCATGCCCCATGCAGTAGAAGCATGGAGCCCTAACCACTAGGCAACCAGGAAGCTCCATATATGTATATATGGAGTTACATATATTTCATTGTGGTTTATTAGTTATATCTTTCTCACTGTAGTTTATTACAAGATATTGAATATAGTTCCCTGTGCTGTATAGTAGGTCCTTGTTTATTACCTATGAATATTTTATATATGTTAATCCCATACTCCTAATCTATTCCTCCCTCCCTACCATAATTTTGTTTTTTTATGTCTGTGAGTCTATTTCTGTTTAGTAGATAAGTTCATTTGTATCATTTTTTTAGATTCTGCATGTAAAGTGATCTCATATATTTGTCTTTGACTTACTTTATATGATAATCTCTAAGTCCATCCATGTTGCTGCAAATGGCAATACTTCATTCTTTCTTTTTTTTTTTCTCATTCTTTCTTATGGCTGAGTAATATTTCATTGTATGTGTAGACATATCTTTATCCATTCATCTGTTGATGGATACTTATGTTACTTCCATGCCCTGGATATTGTAAATAGTGCTGCTATGAACATTGGCTGCATGAATGATAATGTTTTTTATAGCATTCATATCAAAATATCATTTTTTTAAGTTAAAAAACTCAACTTTCATCTGGGGAATTCCCTGATGTTTCAGTGGTTAGGACTTTGTGCTTTCACGGCTGAGGGCCCAGGTTCAGTCTCTGGTTGGGGAACTAACCCACAAGATGCATGGCATGGCCAAAAAAAAAAAAAAAACCTCCAAAACCAAAACACTTATCTGTACAAAGAGTTTGACTTTCTAAGAAGCTTTAACATGTTATTGCTTTAGAGATTTTTTTGTGTGCTAAAATAATAATTATACCACCTTTAACCTATCAGATTGGGTGTGGGGAAACAGATAACCAATATAATTTATGAGAACACAAAGCCATTCAGCTCTTTTTGGGTGACCATTTGGAGTAAATACTCAAATGTTTAATATTCTTACCCCCTAACCCAGCAATTCCACTTCTAGGAATCTCTTCTACAGAAAAACTGGCATTAATGCAAAAAGAAATGTACACAGATTTGGCTACTGCATCATTTATTGGATCAAAATAATTAGAAACAACCCACATCCCCATAGGTAGGGGATGGCTTAAATAACCTGTGTTATTTCCCCATGATGGAATCTCATTTTTTATAAAAAGAGGTAGTTTTATATTAACATCAAAAGATAGCCAGGATATATTGTTAAGTAAAATAGCAAATTGCAGAATGAGATGCTCTTTTGTTTTCATGCGCACAGAAAAATATCTGAAAGGCAGCATCTAAACTGTTCATGAGCTTCTCTACACACTGGGACTGAAGGGTTTGAGCTTTATTTCCTATCTGGGTAATGCAAATACGTGAGGAAAGAATTCCTGACTAGACCAACAGGCATTCCATGAAAATTAAGTCTGGCCCCTCCCTCATCCCACAGAATCCCTTGAGGAGAAGGGAAATCTGATTTTTACTCTAGACATGTCTATGTTAGTACCTTTTACTTATTTTTAAACTTTTATTTATTTTTGGCTATGCTAGATCTTCATTGCTGCACAGGCTTTTCTCTAGTGGTGCCTGCCGAGTAGGGGCTTCTCTCCAGTTGCCGTGCGCAGGCTTCTCATTGCGGTGGCTTCTCTCGTTGTGGAGCACAGGCTCTAGGGCATGTGAGCTTCAGTAGTTGTGGCGCCCAGGCTTCGTAGCTCTGCAGCATGTGGCATCTTCCCAGATCAGTGACTGAACTCGTGTCTCCTGCCTTTGCAGGCAGATTCTTTACCACTGAGCCACTAGGGGAAGCCCAGTACTTTTTAACAAACAACATTGCTTGTTATAATTTTAAAAATTCAACCTAGTGAGAAAAGTGAAAAAGAATGTCCACTGTAGGAAATTTGCAAATTATGTGTAAATTTAAGAAAATATCTGCCGCACTCTCATCTCCCGGAGAAAAATGCCATTTGATGCCTTCCTCTCAAATGTTTTTTACGCACATCCATCTTTTTTATTTCTTTAAAAAATATTTATTTATTCTGTTATGTCGGGTCTTAGTAGCAGCACATGGAGTCCAGAGTGGGCAGGCTTCAGTAGCTGCTGCACTCGGGCTCTCTAGTTGTGGTCCGTGGACTTAGTTGCCCTGCAGCATGTGGGATCTCATAGGTCTCTGACCAGGAATGGAACCCAAGTCCCCTGCATTGCAAGGTGGATTCTTAACCACTGGACCACCAGGGAAGTCCCCCTCACATCTTTTTTTTCTTTTTTTTTTTTAAGTCTATAAAACAGTCACAAAATAAACACAAAATGGAAGAATTCTAAACATGTATTCTGAGGCCAAAAGGAATGAAATTTGTAAAAAGGAAACATGATTTACATGTAGCAGGATAGCATGAACAAGCTCCCATATTCTTACACAACCTGATTTATTTGGTTGGTTAGGAACCTTTCATAAGGAATATCTCTTTAATCTTTTATCATCAGTTAGGTTGTTTCCCATTTCAGAAAAATGTTTTGCAAATGAAGGAAAGAAGAGACTGGGGCTAAACAGAGCCCAGGACAACTGAGAAAAAGTCCCTGCAGTCATCTCTTCCCCCTTCCTGACCCCATCCAGTGGGGTCTCTGCCCAGGCCTTCCAGACCCACTCCCAGAGCTCAGCTAGGACCCAGAGCCAACTGGCCTCCAGCACTGACATTTCCCGGTGAAAGCGAAAGGGGGCATGTCTTACTGGCCCTGGGATCTTTTCCCAGCACAAAACACAATCTGATGGGGGCAATCTGAGGCCCAAGCCCCATCCACAGTCTTACCACTCAAAAAATTCAAGATCCTCAAGGTTCCGGTGGCCCAGAGATGGGTACAACATTTTCATACTGGGGCTCCTCCTGCCCTTCCTCATCAGCCACCTTCTGGGGATCCTGTACTAGGGAACCATCCTCAGGGGCCAGCTCCTGGCCACCCCCTGAGCTCTTGATGCCACCCCCCAGGCCCCTGGCCCCTTCCTCTGACCCAGTCCCTGCAGACTCCAAGGCCCCAGTCAGTTCCTCCTTCATGGCTGAGCTGGGGCTCTGATTGGCAGAGCCAGGGTCCAGCCTGGGGCTGCCCTTGTTCCGACTTAGGGCCCGACGTGGAGGTTTGGGGATGGCACTCTTGACCTTGGGTTCTGCCTGGCCTTTCTGGAAGCTACCAAAACGGCGGAGGACAGATCGGACAGGGCCCTCAGGTCCCCGGGGTGTCCCTGCCAACATGTAGATCGTGGTGACCGAGCCTGAGCTTTCCTGGACGCTGCCCTCGATGGCTTCCACACGCTCAGCCACTGTCCGGCCACCAAGTGGGAGCCGGCGGCGACCAACAGCTGAATCCCTGGGGCTGGCAGTACCAGGAGGGGCCCCATCTGTTTCCACTTGTGGGCCTGTGGACTCCTCAGTCTCCTGGCTTTCGGGACCTGGCTGGGTCCCCCGGGAGAGCCTCTTGGGCTTTCGGAGCGGGCTGGAGAGTTCCCCGGAACCTCGGCGACTCTGTGGTGCAAACTTGGTGCCTTCAGCAAAGGAGACTGATGGCCGCTTGGCCCTAGCGAGGCTGGAAGTGCGCGGGATGGCAAACGGCGTGGAGGCATCCTCGGGGGGAGGGAAGGGACCTCCAGCCAGGCTGGCCTCTGAGGATTCCGCTGGGGCCACAGGGACCATCCCTGGCAGAGGAGACAGAAGTGTTTGACCGAAGCTGGCCCCAGTCCATCTTACTTACCTAGCTCAGCATCTTTTGGGAGGCCCCCAAGATGGAGCAAGGGATAGGGTAAGGCTGCAGAGAGCCAGGAGAAAGGGCTATTCAGGCAGAGACTACCGCCAGTACCCTCCATTCTCACTGTTCTCCCCAGCTTTGTGATAATGCCACGCTCCAAGCACGCTAACACTCTTTCAGCGCCACCTGGCCATGTCCTTACTGCCCTTTGTGTACACCGTCCCCTCTTCCTGGAATGTCATTCCCATCTCTCCCTGTCCCTGGGCTAACCCCTACTGATTCTGCCAGATTCAACCCCAATACCACAAACACCTAGACATCATCTCTGACCCCTGTCACCCCTGACATGCTGGATTACGAGCCCCTACTCGCATGTCCCCCGTGAAAGCACGTATCACTCTGTCCTACCACCCACTGTCTTGTAGACTATAAGCTTGGGGAGGACAGGCATCTCTCTTGTTCTTGACTGCATCCCACAACCAAGAACCTTGACGGGCACAGAGTGGGCGCCTGCTACACGTCTGCTAAAGGAATTAAGAAGGGGTGATGAGCAGGCTGGCTCAGGGGGTGGGGGGGCTGTTGGGGGGCTACCTTCTTGGGGTGGCACGCAGTAGGCAGGACCCTCGTCCTCTTCTCCAGACTCAGAATCGGAAGAAAAGGAGTCATCTGAAGCCCAGCCGGCGGAGGGCGGCTCGATGAAGCTGTGGTTGAAGGGGATCTCCGGGTCGTGGTGCGAGACTGCGGGGGAGGGGCTCCAGGTCAAGTGCAGCGCCCGAGGGGACACCTCGTCCTGGCAGCCCCTGACCCTCAGCACCCACTTACCTGTCACCCAGGGAAGCTTGTGGCTGCCTAGGGTACCGCAGGGCAGCGCAGAGCCCAGGCTGGAGGTCAGGGCCCCCCAGACCTGCAGCTTCATCCTGGACACGGCGGTTCCATCCCTCACTGGCCTGAGGGCAAGGGCATGGGAGAGTGGTCAGTGTGGGAGAGCCCTGGCTGGAGCAGGAGGAAAGGGCCAGGACCGTCTGATTCCACAGTTCATGGGACAAAGTGACCATGTCTACTTAGTGACTCTCTGTGACTACAGAGTAAAATCCAAACTGAGATCTGGAGATATATATATATATATATACATATATAAAATATTGACTTCGAGATCCAAGCCTGACACAGAGGGCAGCGTGGCTCCAGAGTCACGAGGTGGGCAATCTGGCTCTGATTTAACCTCTCTGGGCCTCAACTTCCTCATCTGTAAAATGGGGACAGCAACTCCTATCTCTCGGAGCTTTTTTTCAGGACCCAGCATAGCACCAGCTACACAGAAGCCTGCCCCCAAATGCAGCGATGTGTGATTATCATCCTCACTGAGCCCCAGCTCACCAATCTTTCTGAAAGTGACAGCATCTCCTGGAAGCCCACCCTTGTCCCCACCCCAAAGCTGGAAGCAACTGCTTCACTCATTGCCATTCCTCAGACAGACTGTGCACACGTCCTGGTTCTTGAGTGAGGGGCTTCTCCTTGTCCCCGAGATCTAGGTCCCCAGGGTAGGACCTCCTAGGTCTGCTGCTCTGACGATGCCCTCACAGACAAGAGGGACATGCTCAAGGGGTAGTGAGTGAACTAACAGCACACCAGATAAAACAGAGTCCAGAAAACTGGGCACGGGCTTCATGCGGGCCAGTGACTATCAGGGTCACCTTGGGTCTGTGTCCTCCTGGGAATTAAGAAGGCAACTCCCCTGCTCCCAAGTGCCTTGCTCAAAACCTCCATCCACACTGTTCTGAGCTTCCAAGGGGCCGAGAAGTATGAAGACGTTTCATAAAGGAACAAAGCTCTTGTGTAAAGGGTGTTCCCCGCAGCAGCCCCCAAGCCTCAATCCCTTCTCACCTCTCCTTTTCTCCGAAAACCACACCCTCTGCTGAACCCTTGCACAGGAGTTCACGGCACTCTCCCTTCAGAGGCCTGGTCTCTTTGCCTCCCCGCCCAGACATGTCCTGCTGCTGCTTCTGCCAGCCTGGTGCCTGCTCCCCCACACCCTCCACCCCCAGAAGCATCTGAGGAGGGCAGGTGGCTGACCTGGTGTCTCCAGGCCTCGGCCATGGCCAGCTACTTCATTACCTCTGACTATGTGTGTGACAAGGCCAGCCTATCTCCATCCCAGAAAGGAAACCATAGATACCACCTTGCTTCCACCCATGGCCTGAGCTGTGGGGTCGGGAAGACAGGGACCCATGTTCACCTGTCCTTGGGGTCCAGCCGGGCAGCCCAGCAGCAGCAGGCACAGCAGGAGATGGCCAGGAGGAGCAGCAGCAGAGGTACGAGGATGCCCGCGATGAGGGCGGCGTCCTGACTATGAGATCCTAGGGAGGGCGGGCGACGGACACATATTCGGGGCCTTCTTGTCTCCCACACATCATGTCTCATCTCTAGCTCTACACTGCCTTCTCCCCGAATCTCCCACCTGTGGGGCCCTCCCCCTCTTCTGAGAGATGTAGACTCAGCTCAGCTTGGAGGCCCCCTCCTCCAGGCAGCCTCCCTACGGGTCTGTCCCTTCCTGATGGTCCCCAGCCTGTTCCACAAACTCTTGCCCCAATTCTCAGGCCTGATGAGACACCCCAGTATCCAGCCCTGTGTACCCGTCTCCTGGGTGCTAGCCTGTTTTCTCAGGGGACCAGGGCTTTGTCATGTCTTCGGGGGGGGGGCCCAAAGCACCCATACAGATTTCAGGTAGAGCATCTCTGAAGTGGGCTTAGCCTTTCTAGCAAGTAAGGAAGCCCCAGAGCCTGTGTCAAGGGCCATTTTTTCATGACTTCCCTGGCATACCAGTGGTTAAGACTCCAAGCTTCCACTGCATGGGGCGCAGGTTCGATCCCTGGTTAGGGAACTAAGATCCCACATATCACGCAGTACAGCCAAGAAAAAAAAAGGCCATCCTTCCCCCAGCTACTTCACCCTGTACTCTTTGTTCCAGCTTACCCAGCTGGCAGGCCCCAGAGACAGGGTCGCAGATTCCCTCTGGACATTCGCAGGGAACAGAGCAGTTGTTTCCATGGAAGCCAGATGGACATGAAGTGTTGCAGCTTTGGCGGGACAGGAGAGATAAGTGGGAGGGTGGCTGAGAAGGCATGGAGGTGGGCAGGGGAAGGCAGATTTCTGGGCACTGCTCCCTACCCCCTGCCACACAGACTTCCCCCGAAGGATGCGCAGCCAGACTCTTCTGACCTCTGAGCCACATTCTAAGCACCCCACCCCTGGCAGTGTTTACAAGAATCCCTTAGCCCCCAAGCCCATCTTCCAGAGAGACCATCCACAAACTGCCCCCTGGCTCCCAGGCCCCCAGGGTGAAAGCCTCAGGCAGGGTCCACTTCTCAAGATCTTCATTCCTTGTCCACTTGGCGCTATCGTTGAAATAAGCAAGATACCAGTGGAATCCAGAGACACTTCCTCAGTGTTTGGAGGTCTGAGCAAGGCCCGCCCTGCCCTAACTCTCTGGGCCTTGGTCCTCTCCTCTGTAAAATGAAACCTCTTCCAGTTAATACTCTCTCTGTTCCACAGGTGGGAGAACCTGACATTGGTGACACTGACATTTCCAAGTGGCACAGTGGTAAAGAATCTGCCTGCCAAGGCAGGAGGTGCAGGAGACGCGGGTTCAATCCCTGGGTTGGAAAGATCCCTTGGAGACGGAAATGGCAACCTGCTCCAGTGTTCTTGCCTGGGAAATCCATGTTCTTGCCATGGACAGAGGGGTCTGGCAGGCTACATACAGTCCACTGGGTCGCAAAGAGTCAGACACTACTGAGCTGGTTCTACTTCTACCACTGAGCCCCCCCTTTGGGAGATGCAGACCCCACAACCAGAGGAATAACTTCCTAGTTATAAGGATGCTGGGTGGGCAGGGGGAGAAGCCCAGGCAGGGAAGTTTAGGGAGCAGACTGCACAGAGGCCTAACCTAGGCCCCTCTTCCTCCCTGTCCTCACCTGGGCCCCCAGTAGCCGACGGTGCAGACACACTCCCCGGTCACAGCATCACAGGCCCCCTGGACACAGGTGGGGCAGGTAGAGCTGCAACCCTCCCCAAAGGTGCCAATCAGGCAGGGGTCTTCGCACCTGAGGTGAGGGGAGACTCAGAATGGAGAGCAAGGCAGGCCTGACCCCCGCCCCCAGATGGGATCCACCCATCTTCCCCCCATACTTCTAGATTCAGAGACCCCAGCGTCTACTCATCCAGCAGTGAAGCTCAGGTGCAAACAGGGCCTTGAATCTGAGGTCAGACCCAATAGGTGACAGACTATAGATCCCTGGAGGGAGGTAAGAGTGGGAAGCCTGAGTAGTGGGGGGCGCCTGCCCAGGGCCCCATCATCACCCATTTCTCCTGCCTTAGTTTTCACCCAGAGGTGGGCCCCACTGGGTTGTGTGACTATATACTTGGGAGAGGGAGCAGCTCTCCGAGAGGGAGCAGCTGGGGCAAGCATCTAGAAGGAAGAGATACCCCACCCTGAGCAGGCTGGCCCCTCACCTGGGCCCCTGCCAGCCAGGCTCACAGCGCTGACAGTGCCCGGTGTCTGGCTGACAGGCCTCCCCAAGCCGGCAGCGGGGGCACTGCTGCCTGCAGTTCTCGCCAAAGGTGCCAGGAGGGCAGGGCTGGTGGCACTGGGTCCCGTTCCAGCCCGGCTCGCAGGCCTCGCAGTTGCCTGTGTCTGCAGAGCATGGCTTATTCTGCTTGCAGTGGCCACAGCTGGGAAGAGAAGGAGTCCAGGGAGCCCTGAGAGGCGGACGGATGTCCCTCCCACCCAGGCCTCCAGGGTCTAGAGCGCATCTTGGCTCCAGCAGGGCCATTCTGGCAGGTTTGAGCCTCAGTTTCCCCATGTTGTACAACAAAGAGGCTGGACAGACTATCTCTGCGGCTCTAGTAGGATTCCAGCCCTTTCCTAACCGCACCCCCCCCCCCCCCCCGGCATTCTGAGCCCCACCCTTCCCTGGATCCCAGGGTCCCCAGGAGTTCCCAGCCCAGCCAGGGAAACCAAGTTACCACCCCTACCTCTGCCTCCCTTCTGCCCAGGGTTTCCTTCCTTCCCCTTTCCCCTTCCTCCCTTCTACCTTTGCCACCTCAGAGGTCTGGCATGAACAGGCCTCAGTAGTTTAGCTCCTATCCCATTTAATGCGTTATAAAAATGCATCAAGTGTGTGTTTTTACCACTAGCATTTTATCTTTAGATTTTTTCTGGTTTACTGAGTTATCATTGACATACAGCACTATTATGAATTCAAAGTGTGCAGCATAATGACCTCATATAGTGTGAAATGATTACCATGAAAAGTCTAGTTAACACCCATCATCTCATATTGATACTAAAAAATACGAAGTTTTTTTTTTTCCTTGTGACAGGAACTCTTAGGATCTACTCTTTTAACAACTTTTCCAGTAAGGCTTATCTTAATATCGCCTTCATCCTTATTTGAACTTTCTCCCTCCAGAGACTTAATTATCTGGGATCACTCACTTGGATCAGACTCGTTAGTGGGAGAAGGGGAGTTCATAAAATCAATCTAACAGATCCTGACCAGAATTAAAAAAGAGAGAACAGAAAACATTTGGGTGTATATATATGCGTGTGTGTGTGTGTATGTGTGTGCTGTCAGCTTAACTTTTTACTTCAGTTAATATATAGCCCATCATATACATGTGTGATATATATGTATATCATATGTATTAATAAATAAATGGACCATAAAGAAAGCTGAGAGCCTAAGAATTGATGCTTCTGAATTGTGGTGTTGGAGAAGACTCTGAGAGTCCCTCAATCCTAAAGGACATCAGTCCTGAATATTCATTGGAAGGACTGAGGCTAAAGCTGAAGCTCCAAGACTTTGGCCACCTGATACAAAGAACTGACTCATTGGAAAAGACCCTGATTCTGGGGAAGATTGAAGGCAGGAGGAGAAGGGGATGGCAGAGGATGAGATGGCTGGATGGCATCACCGAGTCGATGGACATGAGTTTGAACAAGCTCTGAGAGTTGGTGATGGACAGGGAGGCCTGGCGTGCTGCAGTCCATGGGGTCGCAAAGAGTCAAACACGACTGAGTGACTGAATTGAACTGAATACATATATGATAGAATGTAAAACGTTTCTTAAAGTGGGTGGGCCTGATCAAAGTTTGAAAGCCCCTGAGAGGCAGAGAGACCCTGCAATAGCCTTTTTGCCATGTGATTCCTTGTGTTTCTTTCGTCCTGTTTCTACTGGCTTGCTAGGAGTATTTTGTTTAACAGTAACCAGATGAAAGTGGTGGGCGAGGCTGGACTCAGGGGCGTCGAGGGTCTCTTTGCCCCCTTTCACCCCACCCTTGTCTGTTTCTGCGCAACCTTCTCCCAGCGGCCCCCCTCCCTCCCCCTCTTACCCTCTCATTCTCTCCTCCTCCTTCGCACGCCCTCCTCCCTCCCTTCTCACCCGCATCCCCCGGCTCACCTCTCGCTGCACTGGAGCCCATAACGGCCGGCGGGGCAGGACAGCTCGCAGCGCACGCCGCGGAAGCCGGGCGGGCAGGCGCACTGGCCGGAGGCGGCGCTGCAGCGGCCGCGCACGCACTCGCACGGCTGCCGGCACTCGGGGCCCCACCAGCCCGGCCGGCAGGCGCAGCGGCCCGACTCCTGAGCGCACGGCGAGCCGTGGCAGGCGCAGCGGAAGCTGCAGCGGCGGCCCCACCAGCCCGGCTCGCACAGGCAGGAGCCGGTGGCCTGATCGCACCGCGCCGCCGCGGGGTTGCACTGGCACGGGCGGCGGCACGCGGGCGACCACCAACCGGGCTCGCAGCGGCACGTGCCGGTCTCGGGGTTGCAGCGGCCGTGGGGACCGCAGGCGCACGGGAACTCGCAGCGGTCGCCCCAGCGGTCGGGTTGGCAGTGGCACACGCCGGTGGCCGGTTCGCACTGGCCGTGTGGGTGGCAGGTGCAGACCTCCCTGCAGTCGGGGCCCCAGTACTGGCCCGGGCAGCCTGCGGCAGGGCGGAGGGGCGACGGAAGAGGGTCAGCGGGCTCGGGGTTGGGCACGGATGCTCGCCGCGCGCCCCCTTGTGTGCCAGGAGGGACCCTGGCACAAGGAAGTGTGTGTGGGGGGAGCGGGCCCACCCTCCAACAGCCGGGACAGCTTGTCCCTGGGGCACAGCTCACTTCCTGCCCCCAGCTCTGAACCACAAGGCTCCTTAGCACTGGCCCAGCCTCCCACTTCCCCATTCCAGAACACACTTAAGAGTGGGAAAGGGCCTGTCCAGAGCCACACCGAAGTGGGTGGGCCTGCATTCGGGCCCCTCCTCCCTCTCCTTGGGTTCCCCCCCACACACCCCCCCAACTGTGTCTGTCCAGGCCTGGAGGCTGCCCTTGGGGTCGCGGAAGAAGCCACACCCCCCAGCGTCTCCTCTCAACCCCGATCCCTGGCGGCTGGCTGCCCTCTGGCTAAACTGCCCACCAACCACTTTGCCAAGTCCCTCTTTGTGCCAGAGAAGGTGGACACTCCAGTCACCCTCCAGACTGGCATAAGGTGTATGAGACTAAGAGCGCATTCATTTTGCAGTTAACCGGGATCTCCAGCGTCTTTCAGGAAGTTGAAAGGGAAGATGAACAGCCCAGAACTGAACCCGTGGGAGGACTTTGAAGATGGGGTAGAAACCAGATGACTCAGGGCATCCCCGGGAGTGCGTCACTTCCTGTCTCCAGACCTCAGTTTCCTCAGCAAAGCTTGGAAGGACTCTGGCCCTGCTCTTGTTAGATTTCTTTGCTCCCTGCTTCGCCTCCTCTCTCCCCCAGTCCTGCCCGGCGCCCTCATCCTTCAGGAGACACTCAGGACTCACGGGAGTTGCACTGGGCTCCGAAGAATCCAGGTTTGCATCGACAGAGGCCTGGTTTCACACATACCTCGTCTTCCCGGCAGGCATCCAGCCCCTCGCAGATGGCTGAAAAACACCCCACCCAGGTTGGAAGGACAGGGGTGCGGCCAGGGGACACTCTGTCCCTCTCACTGGCTCCTGCTGCCCCTGCCTCCCTCAAGAGCTGTTTCCTCGGGGCCGGGGGGTTTGGGTCACAGGAGGGACCTTGGCACAAGGACTCAGGAGGGCAAATAGACCCCAGGGTGGGTAGGAAGGAAGAGTCACTGGGCTCTGTCCTCCTTTCTCCTCCAGTGGCGGGTGGGGTGGGGTAGATGGGACCATCCTGGCTACTCACGGATGGTGCATTCTCGATCTTTCTGCCTCCAGCCTGGGCAGCACTGGAGCTCAGCAGAGGGGCTGTGGGGCAGAGAGGGGTCAGCCGGGGGGGCAGCCTGGCCCTGCAGCTGGATCACTGTCGCTGGCCTCAGCCCCATCTGGTGGGCCTGACCAAGGGTCACAGCCCCACGTCTGTAAACCCTTTCCACTATGTCCCTGGCCATCCCACCGCCCTCCAGGCTGTCCCCGGACCCTTCCAGCTTTAGCCCCTCTTTCCTCATGTCCTCCTCCCCCCTCGTCAGATGCCCACAAGACCCACCTGCTGGCCTTGCAGACGTGCCGCCCCCCGGCGTCCAGCTCAGACCCCGGGGCCCCCAGAGCCCGGAGCAGCAGCAGAGGGAACAGCAGCCCCGGCCCCATGGCGGCCAGTGCAGCGGGAGGGCTTGGGTCAGTCTGGCCCCCACAGCTCCCAACCCCCTTCCTGCTTCCTCCCCAGGCTTTTCCTGAGGAAACCAGGCTAGAGGGGCGGGCTACCACAAGGCACCTCCCTGAGATGGTGGGCAGGCGCTGAGGCGCACACACCAGAATAGTGAAAGGAAAGGGAAGGCCAATGGGCTCAGTGGAGGCTTCCGGGCAGGTCTGAATCCGGAGGGGGCAGGAAGGTGAAGCTCTAAGTCCCGGATCCCAGGACAGGCGAGTGGGTAAGTCACGGAAATCCATTAGGTCACATTCCCCAAGGAAAGTCGGAGAGGGGAGAAGCCCCCCCCCTCCCCGCCGCCGCTCCCCACCAACTAGTGACAACCAAGGGGTCTGTCCTGGCAGAGCTGGGCAGGGGCAGATCGCTGACAGACAGACATGGAGCCATTTCTGGTATCACGGGCAGTTGCTTTATTCCAATAGCTCAGGCCATCTGTACAAACACCTGGGAGGGGGGCAGTCAGCTCTCTGTGTCACGATGGGGAAACAAACTCAGAGAAGCAGCACTTTTATCTGGCCCCTGAGACTTGGCACAGAGGTATAGGAAGGACAGCATATTAAAAAACAGAGACATTACTTTGCCAACAAAGGTCCATCTAGTCAAAGCTATGGTTTTTCCAGTAGTCATATATGGATGTGAGAGTTGGACTATAAAGAACTGATGCTCTTTGGAGAAGGAAATGGCAACCCACTCCAGTATTCTTGCCTGGAAAAGTCCATGGACAGAGGAACCTGGCGGGCTGCAGTCCATGGGGTTACATGACTGAGCATGTGTGCATGAGGGTGGAGGGAGATGGGTTGGTAGCAATAAAGTGGTAGAACTGGAAAAAAAAAAAAAGGAATTGATGCTTTTGAACTGTGGTGTTAGAGAAGACTCTTGAGAGTCCCTTGGACTGCAAGGAGATCCAACCAGTCCATCTGAAGGGAAATCAGTCCTGAATATTCATTGGAAGGACCAAGGCTGAAGCTGAAACTCCAATACTTTGGCCACCTGATGGGAAGAACTGACTCAGTGGAAAAGACCCTGATGCTGGGAAAGATTGAAGGCAGGAGGAGAAGAGGACGACAGAGGATGAAATGGTTGGATGGCATCACCAACTCCACGGACATGAGTTTGAGTAAACTCCCGGATGGACAGGGAGGCCTGGTGTGCTGTAGTCCATGGGGTCGCAAAGAGTCAGACACCACTGAGCAACTGAACTGAACTGATAGGAAGGAAAGTAGGCTGAGCTCCCATCAGACCCCGGCTCGGACCAGGATTAGAGAAGAGCCTGGGAAGGGCAGGGAAGGAGGAAGCCCAGTCCTCATTTGAGGTCACACATCCAACCACAGACAGATTGCAGAGTCAGGCCTCTGGGGCAGCTGAGACCCCAGACAAAGATGTTCACTGAGAGCACAGCAGGACCCGTCAGAAGTCGGGGGCTGTCTGGCTGCCCACCGGCTCCAGGTGGGGTGGCTGCGGGGTCTCCTCTCCTCCCTGTAGCTGGCTGGGAGCCACACTGCTGGTCTCAGTCCCGGGGGCCTCTGCTTCACCCCGATACCACTGGCCAAAGCTGGGGGGAGAGCCAAGAGGTGCTTTGAGCCTGGCCGCCAGGGAGGTCAAGGACAGGGGCTGAGGGTGGCAGGGGGAGCTGTCAAAAGGGGCCCCAGAGCAAGAAAGGGCAGCATGAGGCAGGGGGCGGTAGGGGGCCACCAGAGGAGCAGGAGGGAACAGGGAACGGGCATGCTACTCGCTTGGGGCAGCAGGAGGGAAGGTGGGCCCCTCCACCCCCACCCCCGCCACATTCATCCTTCCTCTTCCCTCAACATACAAACTCCGTATTCTGGACTCAGGGGCTGGGGGTTCAGAATGGTCTCCCTTATCGCTGGAGAGCAGGAGCCATGAGCCATCCTCATCGTCACTGAGGCAGAGAAGAGAGAAGAGAGGAGAGGAGACATGAGGGTCCTTCATCAAGGCCCTGAGGGCCAAGCAGAGTCCGCTGTGTTCAGTCTTCTGTGTAGCCCCGAGGAGAAGGAAGGGGAGGACAGAGCGACTTTGGGGCCCCCACAGCTGGAGTGAGGGAAACTGAATCACTTTGGTGTATGCCTGAAACTGTCACACAACACTGTTAACCCACTATACGCCAACATGAAAAGTTAAGGAAAGCTAGAGAGAAGGAAAATCTGGGGAGACAGAGGACATCTTGAGGCATTTATTTTCTAGCCAGATACACAGCAGGCCGCGGACAGGGCCTGCAGCTACAGCCTTACCTTTACCTGTCTGAGAACAAACAGATGCAGCCAAGACAAGAAACCAAAGAAAGTGAAAACCGACTGTGGAGAAGCAGAGTTAGGATGTGCAGCGAGCAGGGCAGGTGGGAGCACCTGTGATCCAGGGAGAAGGTGGTGGGCTCAGGACGGCAGGCTTGGGTGGGGGGGGGGGGGGGCGGTGACCAGGCCAGTTTAGCAGGTTCCAGAGGTGGCTGAGCTAGGTGACAAGCACAGTCTGAGGCAGTGGGTTCAGAAGGTGACCGGGCTCGGTGGGAACGGAGGCCGGGCCTTACCTGCTCTCGGCTTCCTCTGGAGTCCCTAACATTTTGGCCTTGATCTTCTTCCGCTGCTTCTTGACAGCCACCTTCATGGCTTCAAGCAGAAGCCCAGGGACCCGGTGGTCTGTGAGCAGCTCCCTACAGAGGAGGACGAAGGGCAGAGACAAAGCAGTGGGGATGCTAAGACTAGGTCTCGACCCAAGTACTGTGCATGTTGTTGCCCCTCTTGGGAACACTCTGCCTTGCCGCCCTCAGCTTAGGTGTCACCTCTCCTCGGAGTACTTCCTTGACAGCCACTGCTGCTGAGCCTCAGCACTGGCCCTCCCCCGTGGGGAAGGAGATCCGGGAGGGCAGGGACTATATGACTCACGTCCTCCAGTGCCCAGCACAGTGGGTGGCACATGACACTGTGGACATATCAACCACTCAAAGAATGAGGCGGGTGAACCGAGGCCAGGGAACAGGTGCACCTGGCGCCCCCGCCTCCGGGCCCTGCCCGGCGCCCTCACCGCTGGAAATAGGCCAGCTCCTCCTTCAGCAGGAACACGTTGGCTTTGAGCTCATTCCGCTCCTGAAGGATCTGCTGAACCTCCTCTCGACTGAAGCCGCACTGCCCTGCCTTGGTTGGGAGCCCTGGCGGCGGCGGGGCATCCGCCTGTGGAAGGACAGGCTTGGTCAGGGGGCGCCTTGGTTGGATAGGGACGCGAGAGGACTGGCAGGGAGCCTTGGGAGGCCAGGGCGCTACCATGAGTGCCAGGCCGGGGCTCTGGCTGAGAGTAGGGGCGGAGGCCAGCTGGGGGCGCACACTCGTAACCACCTTCCAGCTAGCCTGTTGGCCCTGCTACGTACAGCAAAACTTTCCCGAGTGCCCACCGAGAGCCGGACTGGTCCCTCATCGGGCACTCACCGGGTCCTCGGGGGTCCCCGGGGCTCTTGTGCCCGCGGCCGCCCCCTCGGACTCCCGCCTCTGCTTGCACCCGGGCCCCGCAGCCTGGCCCTGCACCGGCTCCGGAGGCGGCTCCACGGCCGCTTCGCGCTGCTGCTCTCGCTGGCTTTCGCGGTCCCGCGTGGCGCGCAGCTGGGTTTGTACCGCGGCCAACTTCTGCCGCAACTCCGCATTCACCAGCAGGAGGCGCTGCAGCTGCTCCTGCAACTGTGGGCGGAGCCAAGGGGCTGGTGGGCGGGGCGCCCGAGGGCCGGCAGGGCCCCGCATCCCGCACGTCGCCCCGCCCCGCCCTCACCGCCTCGGTCTCCTGGCTTCGCTGCAGCAGGTCGCGGTTGTACGCCCGGAGTTCGTCCCTCTGGCGGTCGGTCACCTCTTTGAGCTGCCGCAGCAGAGCGTGCTCCTCTGAGGAAGGGGCGTTCTCAACAGCGGGCCCGCAGGGGGAAGCCCTGAGCCGCCCTGACCACGGAGCCCTGCAGGCCGGCACTCACCCTGTGGTCTAGAGCGCAGCTCTCTGCGGAGGCGCTCGTTATCCTCTCGTAGCCTCCGCAGCTCGAGTTCTGCCTGCTGCGCGGATACCTGCAGCTGGGGATGCGACGCTGTGAAGGTCAGCTCCCGCTGGCCCGGCAGGCGGCTGGGGAAGGGCGCCGTGACTCACCGAGTCTGGGGAGGGCCCCACGGCCGCCTTTTCCAGGAGCTCCAGCGCCTGCACCACCAGCGGCACGAGCCCGGCCGCCGCCTCCGGCCCGAAGCGGCGCGCCAGCTCCTGCAGCTCAGCGCCCAGGGCCCCCGCTAGGTGGTACACGAGCTCCGCGGCCGTCCCCGATCCCGCGGCCACCTGAGGCCCCCAGCCATGCGCCCCAGGCACCGCCCTTCTGGGCTCCATGTCCGCCGAAGGCGACCAGGGCTGCGACACCCTCCTCCTCCAACTGGGGCAGGAAAAAGCCAATCAGTCCTGGCCCAGGAAGCAGCTTAGGACAGTCGAGGGCGGGGTAGAAGCGACAAGGGAGGAGCGATTCAGGGAAAACGCTGGAAGAGACTCAGGGCTCTGGACCCTGTCCTGTTAAAGCCCCCAAGGTCACAGGAAGTAGGACATTCCGGCCAGGCGTCCAGGAGCTGAGGCCCAAGGCTGTAAGTGGTCACTTTTGTCAAGCCCTCCCCAGTGTCCACACCAGGCTCCACCCCTGTGTCTAGAGTCATGGGGCCTGACTTGGCTGCCAGCTCTCCGCCAAGAGGTGAGTGGTAGGAGGGCTGTCACTGACCTCAGCCAGTGGCAGCCAACTGTCCAGCCACGTGCCTGTTTCCAGGACAGGCTGAGAGTGACACAAAGCTTAAGGGGCTAAGCTGGGCTCTACAGCTACGGAGAACAAGCCAGGAGCTTCTACACTCAAGAGAGTGACTGCTCCAAGAGATGCTGAAAAGCGGTGAGGGTTTACAACTATCTGGGGGAAAACTGGCAAATGTGGTCACAGCAGCAGGGGTGTGAAAACCCAACTCCCCTCCAGCTCACTGAGCTTAGAGGATATTTATGCCCACAGCTCCGAACACGGGGGGCCTCAGGGCTCAGTCCAGCAGCTTGCTGTGAACACGTCCAGCCTCTGCCATCCCTACACCCAGAATCTGAGCTCAGGGGAAAAGAAACTTCAAAACCTCCTATTTATACAAAATTTATTATTATACTTTTTCACAATTACAAGTCACCACGAGGTCAACAACATCACAAGCACAAAAGAGGAAAAAGGGGCTAAGCTGCTGAATGTCACCAGCTTGTCTGTGGGGTCACAGGCTCTAGCCCTGACCAGAGGCTGGAGCAGGAGGTGAAGAGACGACTACGCATAGAGGTCCTCTCGGTCCGCAGAGTAGACCTCGCCCTCCTGCAGGAGCGCGAAGTTAAGGAAGTGGGAGGGCCGGTGCACCTCGTGGTAGAACTCTTTGGGGTTTGCCAGCTGCAGCTCGTACTTCATGTTGGGATCATGCCGGACACCTTGGAGTAGAAGGAAGAGGCCAGGGTTAACAAGGTCCACCTGCCTCACCCAGCCTGGGTCCCTGGGCCATCTCTAAACCAGAATCTGGGCCCAAGTGCTAAGCGTGGTGGCCTAACCTCATCCCCACTTTCCTGTGCACCCCTGCCCCCACCGCACACCCTGGCCCACATACCCATGAAGTTGTAGTTCCACGAGGACTGGGCAGGGACCATAAAGAAGCCAAGGAAGCGATCCGACAGTAGCATCTGGACCCTCTCGTAGTGCGAGGGTAGGTAGCCCTTGGGGTTGTTGCCCTTATCTGTGTTCTGGCGGCCCCATTCATAGCCACTGGGAGTCAGCTTGTAGGCTGTCAGGGTGCAGGAGCCTGGTGTGAAGCTGGAAGAGGAATGAGGACAGAGTCAGAGCTCAGGCCACCATTCTGGGCCCTGGCCCGCAATGCCTCCCACCACCCTTCCTCCCAAGGGGGCTCAAGCCCACCTGCAGGTGATGATAATGGTCTTCTCGCCATCCCAAGATGGGTTGTCGGCCATGATCTTGGCATGGGTGGTGACATCCTGGGGTGACAGCTGGGGAGACTCGTTGGGCTGAGTGTGGATCCAACCTAACGGTTCCATCTCCTATAGGAAGAGCGAAGGAAAGCTATTTAGGGCCCTGGAATCCCACCCATGAGAGTAAAACCTCTGCCTTCCCTCCACCACCCTGAGAGCAGGAAGTCGCAGCCCTCCCACTTCCTCCACTAACCTTGAGGTACTCATGCTGGGGCAGCTGGCCAGGCAGGTGCACAGTCTGGTGAGTGCCCCACTGTGGCACCATCACGATGCAGCGGATCTCCTTCACCTGGGGGTTATCTGGTGGGCTCACCCCATACAGGTATCCTGCAATCTGGAGACAAGGGGGTCGGGAACCAAAGAGATTCTTAGTACCAGCTTTGTGCTTAATTCCCTTTGCCAGGACAAGGACAGAGTGCCTAAAAATGTGGCCAGAATCTCCTACATTAAAAAAGCCTGGGGGTGCTTATTCAAAATGTTAAACACGGACTTCATCTCAGACTTAATCACATCAGAATCTTGAGTGGGGTCCAGGAATCGGCACTCCTCACACATTCCCCAGTTGAGTCTTTAAGTACAGTATCCATAAACAAATGAGCACAAGCACACAGCTCAGGCATTCAACAAGTTGTACACATCAGTAAATCCGCAGCACTGTTTCCACCAGTGGGTTCTCCTTGAAACAACCTTGAAACTCTTTGCTCAACCTTTTAGTTATCTTTTATTTCTTCCTGTTTTTGTCTTTTGTGGTACTCTTTGTCACACACAAGTTAATCATTTTGATGATGCTTTTGTGCTGTGTATCTTATTTAAGATTATTCCATCACTAAGACAATATATATTTTCTTCTAATACTATACTAGAGTTTAGTATTTTATATCCAGATTTTTATTCCATTTGGATTTTACTTCTGTAAGTGCTACAAAGTAGGGATCAAGTCTCCTTTTGCTGATTATTTCAGTATCATAAAACACAATCCCACAGATGAAGTGGAATCCTCAAATGATACACCTGATTTATTGTATACACATGAATCTGTTTCTGACTATATGATACTTCATTCTGTATACACATGAATCTGGATCTGACTATATGATACTTCCTTCCAATAACTTCTAGGCCAATCACACATCATCCTCTGAATTGCCACAGCTTTATAATGCTTTTGTATCTGGTAGGGGCCAAAACCTTCCTCCCTGTTTTGGTTATCCTTATATATACTTTACTCATCCATGAATTTCAAAACATCACCTCCAATTCCAGGAAATCGCAGGTGAGTTTTAGGCTCATAAATCCTTAGCACACACTGTGGCCTAGTTGGACAAACATACTCACCTGGGCCCGAAGGTCAGATATGCAGATAAACTTCTTAAGCACGTTCTTGGGAAGGATATAGGTGTACCCAGTCTCCTTGATGTCATCAGATGAAACATAGATGTGATTGGTCCTTAGGTGCAGGTTGGCGGCAGAGATGGCCCTAAAAACAGGCAGGGAATGTTGGCATTTCTCAACTCGAGCACCTCATGCAGCACCGACAGGCCTTCCCATCCCCACCCCTCTGCCCTGTGCACTACCTGACCCTCCATTCAGTCTTAGAGGAGAAAGTCTGGGTCTCATAGTTGCTGGTGGTGGAGGTGATGATTTCGTCACCATGCTTGTTGACAGTGCGAGTCTGGGTTGCAGTCAGCTGCGACTGTTCCTTGGTCTGCTTCTCAATCTCAGCGATCTGCTGCCGCTGCTGTGATGGTGCTGAGATCTCCATCCCCAGGATGATGTCCCGAATTTCTGACTGTGTCAGCGATGCCACATTCACACTGTGGGGACAGTGTGAGTCACACCACAATGATCCCTTCCCTTGGTCGCTTATACCCCTAACTGCAAGCTTGTTAACTGGCTGAGAAACGGAGCCCATACGTACCCTGACCCCAGACAATCCTAAGTGACACTTGTACAGCAAGTGTGAAGTGGAAATACACTAATATGGATCAGATTTGTCACATCCCAGGCTGACCCTATGCCTGTACACCTTTTGATCATGCTCAAACCAGATTTAGCACCCACACCTCCCACTCTACCTCAACAAAAAGTGCCCTGAAACTGGAAAAACTTTCAAAAACGAAAATGCTGGAACAAGTTCTCAAAGTTGACACGTCAGTCACCCTTACCAATGTCTGGAAATCTATGGACATTTCTGGTTGCAAAAATGACAGGGAAAGAGAAAGAGGGAAAGTGTGGGCGTGTTTTATTAGCTGTGCTACTGTGGGGTCTGGGATGTGAGAACTCCGTGTATGTGTGTGTGTTATGAGCTGTGGTACTGAGGCGTCTAGGATGTTAGAACTCTCTCTACTGACTATGTGGGTGTGCATGTGTGCATGTGTGTGTGTGTGTGTGATAAGCTGTGGTACTGAGGGATATGGGATGTTAGAATTCCCTCTACTGCATGGACTGTGTGTGTGTCTGTGTGATGAGCTGTGATACTGAGGGGTCTGGGATATTAGAACTCCCTGGACTGCATGGACAGTAAAGAAACACCCTGCTCGAAATGGCAACAGTGCCTCTGCTAAGGAACAGTGCCCAAGAGTCAGCTTGAACCCTGAGACATGGACACTTCCTACACCATCAGAAGACGCCACCTATAGGCATCTCCATGACAATTTCTTGAGAATCATCTTGGCTTAAAATGTTTCGAAAACCCCAGAAAGTATATACTGAGCCGCCTATTTCACCCCTTGCGGCTCTCATTGGTAGCCCCCACCACCACTCACTTGTTTTTCTTGCCGTAGTCAGCCAAGATAAGGTCCTTGAGCTGCACCTCCACCTTGATCCACTCCTCGTCAGTCAGAGTGGGCCAGATGTGGTGCGGTTCTGTGATCGTAGTCTTGTCTGGCTTCAGGATCACCTTTGCGCGGTCGTTGTTCACATGCAGGGCACGCAGAATCAGGATGAGGCGGGAGAAGGCCTGGGGAGAGGTATGGTGGCAAGGGAGGTCAGCTACTGGACATTCTTCCCTCTCCACCAGCCCATCCCTTTGGAGATTCACACCCTAAGGTGTCCCCCTCACCGAAGGCAGGGGCACTGGCCCATCCACAGGTGGATGAGGTGAAAATAGCCCCCCAAGAGGCCTGTGGAGAAAGTTAAGGCACAGGACTTTCTTGTGACTCCATACCCACTCCTCTCAGAGTGGCGCTCCTAGCAAGGTGGTTTCATACCGTGTAAGATGAGATAGTCTTGAGCCAGTCATCATAGAGATTAAAGAGAACCATCTGCGGCTCAGTGGCTTTAAGGATGAGATCCCCAAACTTCTCCACCTTGAGGCAAGCCTGGAAGGGGAGCTGGAGCTCTGATCCTTTAAT